ATTTTAATAAAAGAAATTCCATGTCTGAAATTAATTTCCCTCCCCTTATTAATCTTTAGAAAAGTGTTTTTGGGCATAAAGCCATCCAAACCATTTTTATTGCTGAGCATCTTATTGCATTAGTTTGCTTTTTTATCTGCTACCTTTGGTGATGGCTCTAACTCTTTGAGGATGGTAAGCACACTTTCCAACACCCTAATCTTTAAAGCATTACATATATTCCCTTTCAGATTGACTTAATTTGGAACTTAAAGGAACGTGTCAACGTATTTGTAGTTGTTTTCAATTGTTTTTTTTTTTGTGTTAGAATAATTGTATATAAATGCATTTGTGTAGTGTTATCATGCATAAAGCTGTGTGCTATGTGCATGTGTTTATAGCCATCTTTTTTTAAGTATACTGTGATTTGTAGATTTGCTTTTGGGGAGGTTGTGGTTGATCTACGAGCAGCACTCAACCTGCTGAACTTTGGTGAACAGCTTCAACAGCTTAAACTTTGACTGAACCCTGAGATTTAGAGGACATGTTTACTGAGACTGCAAGTCTGAGTTCCTTATGTCCCCCCCCCTTCTTTTCTTTCCCTGTATGTATGTACGATGTTTTAGGTGCTTAGATCTGACAACTTGTCATAAAAGCACTGTCATTTCTGGGCAAAACATACTCAGCAGAACATTTGGGTGTCGGGTCAAATATGTGTGTAGGCCATATTAAGCCATTCAGAAATGTGCACCGAAAGCTCTGAGTTAGACAGATAAAGGGAATGACCTTTAACAGAACAAAGAATCTTTTTCAAATTTGAACATGGATCAGACCAATTGGAGTCTAACATTTTCCCCAACAGAGTGCAGGAGGACAGTCATCTTAGTCACATGTATATGGACTCTGTTTCCTGCTTGGACCCCCAGCTTCCCCTCAGTCAGCGAAGCCTCCCCAACACCAGGGAACACTCAGGACTCCATTCTCTCCCCATGCTAATTTTTTTGTCAGTTTGGAGGAGAGGACACCATGAGTCGTTCTAGATGGGGACCAACTGGGGCCAGTGCCCCTTTAGAACCGGCCCTGGCACCTGATATGGCCCCTCTACTGAAAACAGTTTACAGTTTTGTATGATATGTAGGCTCATAAAATGTAACTGATTGGTCCAATGGACAGGTTTTTACAGGTTTAATTAAGCAATGATATAAAACCTAAGGTGTTGCACCAAATTTTAGCTTTTTAGCTCACTTTATACAATAAACTATTTAGATCCGGAGATTCTAGAGGAATTCTGGAATCAGAAGATGACATTCTCGGTTCTGATTTTCAAACCTGGGATCTAATCACTTAAGACTTGAGATTTGCTGCTAATACAAAAGCACCTTAAAAATCTTGCAGAAAGACCACTTACAAACCTGCTGCCAAGGGATTCTTCCCCGGATTAGAGAAATATACGCTACAGTTTAAATTTATAACCTTGAACAGTAAGGTTTATGTTCCAAAATGGCTCTGATTTACATTCAGGCTGCCTATTCTGCATGTCCAGGAAGTACAACTAAATCACATGCAGTCGAGGTTTGGATCCCCTAAAGAAAATCAACGTTTCTCAAACAAAAACACAAACTACCATGGTACTTAGTTTCAAGTCAAAGTAAAGGGACTGGACTAAATGCGCTGTAAATTAAAATGAGAACTAAACCCACTGCAGTGAAGGACATCATTTGCAGCAGAGGGGCTCATCCAAAGCATTACCTCTGAACTTTGTTTCTTTCTGGGCGTATTATAAGCTTTATGGTTTATTGAAGCGTAAGCTTCTGGTCATTTCCAGATTTAAACCTCAAATAATGCTCATAAAAGTTTTTTTTCTTACTGCATGTATTTATACCTGAAACTTATTGACAGGAGAGTCTAAAATTTTAACGAATTCTAGATTCCTTTTATGCACGTTCAGGTTAAAAATAACAGCTAAAATACTAAAGTAGGATGCAATATTTAAGCTGTGTTTTAGTAACTGGTGCAGGTTAGTGTTCCTGCTTCTTTCTCTGTGCATAGGCTTGTATATCGGGGAATGCAGCGTAACAGTTTCCTTGTAGGTGATGAAAACGGACTCGTCCAACTGCAGGGATCTGTCACAAGCCCACAGCTGTACACACTTCCTCGACAGGGCATTATGAATGAGAGCGATGTTAACATCCTGGAGATAAGAGCTACTACTCGGTGGCCACCGCATAGCTGCTGTGTTTTGTATAAATGAAACTGGCTTGTCAGGAGGGGTTTTCAGGCAAATGCAGGATGCAAAAGAAGTTGGTACAACAAAATGATTTTTCTGCACTCTGAGCTGTGCTGTAAGAACACAAACATTCTCTGATGTTTATCATTTACATAAATTCAGCTGACAGAATGTTTGTTGTGTTGCTGGATTTGGAGCAGCAGCGGTTGATTTCTCAACCCGTCCGTGGGCAGAAATACAGGAATAAAACACATATATATGGGTTTAATTTCTCTACTTTCCCTTTCATCCATTAATGTAAGGGAATGTTTTTAATTTTTTATCTATTTACACAGTACCTTAAGTCAAATTGTGACAAATATTCAAATTAGATATGCTATTTTTCTATTTAGCATATTTACCTATTTCTGAGAAAATAACTAATCTTTGTAATTTTGTTATGTTCGGCTTTTCATTTCTGTTAAAGGAAGATTGTTAAACATCAGCAGAGTGTTTTCAGTCAGAGGCTTCTCCTGATGTGCTGCGACACAGACGACTACAGAAGATCCTCCTTGGCTACCTGGCACCTTCAACAACTGATTAAAAAATAACTGAGTTACTGCAACATTTAATTTCTCATTGGGATTATTAAATAATTTGGAAATTGAATTACAATTTAATAAAAATGGGTCAAAACGGTCACTAACTTTAAATGCAATTGCTAGATTAAAACATTAAAAAGTAATGAACTGCTGCTGCCAAGAATTAAAGGGATTTATAAACAGAATTAGAATTACAAGGGTCTTGGTCCATTTAGTTATAAATGTTTAAAATATATCACTGGATTTGTTTTTATATGCTTTATTTTTCACAAGCTTTGATGTTTTATAAAGTGTTTATTTTCTTATCTCAGTGCTGTTTGAGCTGTTGTCATCTTTTATTATTGAGATTTAAAATTACAGTGGGTATTTCCTAAATGATGTTTGTTTGTGTTCTATAAATATTTTTAAGAAACTTTGAGGAAACTACATTCTTTTATGGAGGAAAATAAATTTGTTTTAAAATCCATTTTGTAATATTTGCTCTTTTATTAATGTTTGTATGACATTTTAAACAAAGTGATTTAAACATGTGGACTGTCAGTAGGCCTGATGAGGATGACTTAGTCCTGAGTTAATCTGACAAGTTTACCAAATCAGAATACAGATAAACTGAACAAATACTTTATTTTCTGTGTCCAAAGCCCAATCAGTACATTTATATCCGGAAAACACTGTTAAAGTAGTAAAGTGATAATAAATGTTGCACCGATGCCATTTTTTGGGTCTGATACCGATACCCGATACCTGGCTATGCACTATCAGCTCATACCGATACCATCTGTTTGAAATTGATGTGTTTGTATATGGAGAACTGCATACTACTTGGATGTAAAATAATTGCTATCATGGCTTTGTCAAGCTGCTGCCTACCTTTGAGAAGCAGGATAAAGACTAATACAAAGTGAATCCAGTAGAACTTTTTATTGCCTACCTTGAATGGGTGACAATAGTTGAATAAACGTTTGGCTCTCAAAATGGTATCGGTGATCAATTTAATGGTAATCGCCGATACTGATACCATTTTAGTGCTGGATCGGGGCCCTACATGATACTGGTATCGGTTTTGGTGCAACACTACTGATAATGATTGTTTGTTTAAAGAAAAATTTTATTGTTTTCTTATTTTCTTCAAAGTTGCTCTCCCTGTTCTTGTTGCTCACATAACTTCTTTGACTGTTTTATGTCTTTATAGATAAGCAGCTATAACTGACCTATCAAAAGCTCTACTGAACATAATTTCTATCATATTTTTTTTAGAACTGCTCCGCTTTATGAGTGACCCTTTCCAAACGAACAGTGGGTGTTAACTTGTGGCTTATGTTCTGCTTGGTGGTGGGATTTGCATGAGCTTTGCATGAGGCGCGTCTGCAGCAGCTGGTTATGGCTCCTAAACACAACGCAGAGTGATGCACCAGCAGGGCTGTGGGGGCCCGCAGCCGCTCCCACACACCACAGCGCTAAAACACAGCCAAAAAAATGCAACGGGTCTGGTTTAACAGTGAAGTTATCATCCTGCGGCTTCAGAAAAAAATAGAATAAAAGTACTATCTCATCACAGTTGCACCAAAGAAGAATTTTTAGAGGGTGCTGCATTTTAGTCAATACTTGTTTGAATTATTTGAATTCATATAAGTTGTTCTGTTAAAATGTTTGTAGTTGAGCAAGTTTCTACACTGAGGCAGGCTGGGCTCCTTCACCCTGAGGCTGTTGCTCACTGATAATGAGCGGCTGCTCTCAGCTGTGTTTGCCAGGGTAAGGTTCAACAGGACACCCCGTTGGAATGGATGATAAATATTTATGACACTTTCGGTCATTTCAGCATTTTCTCTTCTTTAAAAGGGAGCAGATGCCAAATTATAGAAAGGGATTTTGGAAGGTATTAAATAACAGCAGTTATTCTTTTTTTTTTCTGGTTTAAATTCAGCCTGTTGGCTTGTAAAAATAACTTTTGAAATGAGTTCAGTCATAATATTAACTTCCTTATTTTGGTTTCAGTTAATCCCTTTAGTTAGATTTAAACTAGGGTGAGCAGTTCTTGCTACCCTGCAAGGATAAGCAGGCATAGACATGGATAGATGGATGTTTTCATGGATAAAAAATCAACATCCCATCTAATAAGCACAGCTTTACGAAGTCTATCACTATTTTTGTATTACTGCAGTTCCTGTTTATATTTTTCTTTAACTTGAGAGAACAAACCAAACTTAAATTGGGTATTTTATTTTATATTTTAGCTTTTGACCATACAAAAAAAATGTTTTTCCTAAATTTATCTATAAAAATCTATAAATCTATAAAAAGGAAAAGTATGCTTAATTTGTGTATTTATTGAACTCTAAAAGTTATTTTGAACATGCAGTAGTCATCCACTATTCTGAAGCCCAATTAAAAACAAATATGTTTCTGTACTAACACTGAATCTGTGAAAATACTGGCTGTTCATTTCTCTGAACATCCTTCTTCGCTGCCGAGTTCACACCAGGAAAAGATAACAGCTTATCCATGTCTCCCTACTTCCCCCAGTAACAAAACCTACGCAGAAGCTTAGAAAAACAGTTTTTCTTTATTATTTTTGTTTTTTTTTATTTTTTCATCAAGTCATTGACTGTTCTCTGTGGTCATACCTTTCAGATTGATATATTAATGCTAAAAAAAATATGATTTCAATAATCTATGGTGCTTAAAATCCATGGCACAGTTATTACACATGACTGCAGGTATTATAGCAGCAAACATGTCAAAGAAGCAGGAAAAAACACAGTTGAGGCAAAGAGGAGCTACCCGGACTCCATTCATTATATAGAAACATACATATGAGATGATGTTAATCATCAACAAAAATAATGCAACCCTATTTTGCATTTATTTAATCATATGTAGTTACTTTAACACGTGTGTTTCATGTTAGCAGGGTAGGACATAATACAGAAAGTGGTTGCATTATTTTTCCAGTGTACATGTGTCAACCATCTCTAAAACTCCTTATGTGTTTGCAAAGAAACAATATTTCTTGTGTTATAATCATATTGGGATCATTTATAAAGTATTTAAAAACATATTTTCATTGATAACTTTGAGTTAACTTTTAAAGGTGTGTCCAGGAAGCAGTGAGGTAATGGTAAATTACAAGCTTTTTATAATCTACTCTCTGTATGTCACACCCACAGGAGGTTTATTAAAGAAAATTACATTAGAAAAATGTCAAAAAAGTGTAATAAAAAAAACATATTAAACTTTTATGGCCTAAAATAAAGCAAAATGGTCTGTTTTAATAAACTTTTTTCCTCTTTAGGTCAGATTAAATGGATGTTGTGCGTATTTGAGCTCCAGGTGCACAGATGGATGAAGCTCACCTAACAGCAGCAGCTTCAGCTCCCTGCGGGAATCCTTCTTGTCTCTCCTCAGCTGCTCCTCTATGGCATCGTTGATTCTCTTGGTCTCCCGGTCTTCTGCAGATACACAACACCCAGCCATCCTCCTGCACAACGAGCCAACGGCCCCTATGGTGAACAGCTGTCAGCTGTCAAAATGAAGGGGGGAAAAAAAGCTTTGGGATCTTCAAATGAGGGGAAAAAATAAAACAGCTCAAGAGCTTAAAGTTTCAGCCGGGAAGAGGCGCAGGGCATCTTCAGGAATGAAGGATTTTCCTCTTTAGTGTAAAAGATCAACAGTTTTATAGGAAAGATAATCTGATAAATATTCTTGATCCCCCAGCTGTGAGGAGTCAGTGCAATCAGCTTTAAATCCTTTTAATGGAGGAGCTTCTTTTGGGTTCTTGAAGTGTAGAGGTCAGTGTGAACCAGAGAGATGGTTGGTGAACTTTTTCCTACCCAGCCTGGAGGGCGTGGCTCTGCCCACAAATAGAAAGGGATAAATGGGAAGTGAGGCTTCAGAGGCAGCACACTTCACACGCTGCGCTGAGGGAGCTGCAGTGGCAGGAAGATCAGGCATGCTGAGGGCTCAGAGGAGCAGAGTTACATCATGCATCCACAGGAAAATTAAGGGGAGAAAGGGTATTGGTAAAGACCTATACCGGTATATGTCTTCAAACGGCCGCTAGGGGGCAGACTGGGGCAGCAAGGAAGACCAAGATCCCATATTTACATATTTTATAGATCATATTTAAACAGGGGAAAAAACAGAGAGAAACAAAAGTGCTCTGTCAAAATAAATGTTTAAAATCATTTTCAAACTGAATATTATTTTATAATGATGAAATGTTGAGTTCAGGCCAATAAAAGGAAGGAGGAGAGTAACTATACTCTCTACATGAAAAAAAAAAAGATGGAAAGTCACATAGTGCTTTACTTAAGCATTTAATGGAAAATTAAGTAAATATAAAGAGTATGATAAAAACATGGGCGGCTCTAGACCGGGGCCAACAAGGGCCACTGTAGAACTGGCTTTGGACCCTGTGCTAAGCAAATCGTACTAAATGAGTTTCTTATGATATTATTTCTCTGGTACAAACACCATAACTGATTTGAACCTTTTATCTAATTTAACTTCTATCTTGACTTTTTTACTTTAAATATGAAGTTGCTGCACTTTTTGCTTTAGCCATATAGATTCATTTTTCCTCTGTTAGATCAGATGTTTACAACCTGCAGCTCCAGAAGCATTTGGCTCTTTGGCTCATTCAATGAATTAAACAATGAACCATTGCCCTGTTTGTTTGTTTTTTCAGTTGTCCCCCAATTAAAAAACACTGGCCTCACCGTGGCCCCCTGCTAATTGTAGTCTAGAACTTGATAAAGTAACAAAGCTAACAATAACTTTGAGGAGTCAAGGATCCTGGCTTTTTGAGTTTAGTGGAGACTGATGAAGCCATCTAGTAGGAGACATCACTGAGCCAGCACCATGCTTCACTGAAGACGCAATGTCATTTGCATTCTCCTCCTCCCCACATACCAGTGATGCAAAAACTCTCATTTTAATTCCCGTCACAAAATCCCTGCACCTCTTTATGTCATTTATACAGTTGTGAGCAAACTGAAAACATCCTTTCTTTCACTGCAATGTCTAGGTGGTGCAGGGACTGTTCCTTAAACTTCAAACTGCATCTCCAGGAACATTTAGTAAATCTGTTGAATTCAGCTTATGGGCTGAAGAAATTTAACAACCAGGTTATGAAACTGGCTTCAAATAGTATTTAGAGTTGATTTGAACTGAGGAGAAACATGCAGTATGTGCAGTAGTCGAGTTGAGAGGGGATGAGGGGGGATCTTCTCTCTCCTTGAACCCCAGTCGGCCTCGGCAGATGGCTGCTCACACTTAGCTTGGTTCTGCTGGAGGTTTATTTCTGTTAAAAGGGAATTTTTCCTCTCTACTGTCGCTGCAAGCATGCTTAGTGTGAAGGGATTGCCTTCAATTCAATGAGTGGATGCAACTGGTTTTCCTTGGAGAGAAAACTTTAAATCAATTTGATGATCTGGTATGATCTGGTGAACTGTAAAGTGCCATGAGATGACGTGTGTTGTGAGTTGACGCTATATAAATAAACTGAACTGAATTAAATTGATGGCATCTGCTTCTTAAAAATCGTCCTTCTTAAATATCAATCCCCTGTGACATTTTATTAATGAATGAGTAAAATCTCTACTATATATTAACAGTAATGGTAATAATATTGCCCTTTCAACATTTGGCAGGCTGTGGGCTTACGAGTAGCCTGAGGAAAATAAATAAAATCAAAGAAGTGTCCTACCATGACTATGAAGCTGATCCCAGTGGGAAATCTGTCCTCTTCATTGGTTTCTAACTATGTAGGGGCAGTGATAGTCATGCCAGTCCACGGACTGACTGCAGTTCTAGTGTAAGGTGCCGTGGTCAAGGTCAATGACCGTGGCAACCATACCATACATATTGCTTTAGCTTAATAGACTACATTAATTAGACGATGTACTGTATGTTTCCGAAAGAAAATCCACCATCCTCCTCCTTTTTTTACAATTAGACTATTGAGTGTGTGTTTATAAAACCAGGTTTTACAACCAAAAAGAATCATGATCACCATAGGAACCCCTACACGTCCTATCCAACAGGAACCCCACAGTAGGTGAGCTGAAAGCAGACAGAAAGATGAATTTGATGCTGGAGTTTGAAGTTTATAGGAACTCTTTTTTTTCCTCCAAACTTTGACTTGCTCTGAAACATAAGAGGGAAACATTGCTTAGAAGAAGAAAATGATCTATAAAAAGGAAGAAACCTCAGAATGATGTGAAGATTAAGAGATCGCTCTTATTGATAGCAGACTTCATTCACACTATAAGTTTTCACAAGAACAATTCAGTTATGTGTCTGTATACTTTATAATACTTTACGAACTGTGATCTTTTCTCAGAGTGATCAAAGTGAGAGGGACACTTCACAGGAACAGCAACAGAAGCTTCAGGTTTTTTTTACAAGGAGTCACAAGAATTCATTTATTGAGGTAACTTAGTAAAAGCAGAGGTGTTATTAGTTTACGGTTGTGGTCCAACCCTTTTATTTGCTCGACTACCTGCTATTATTTTTACCTTTTTTATCTTTACTGGCCTTTATTTTCTATTTTATTTTTTTATTCATATAAAGCACTTTGAATAAAGTGCTTTATACTTTGTACTAAATTCTGCTTTATAAATAAAGTTGCCTAACACATTTAGCGAGGAAAAAAGCTTTGAATGGAATCAATCTCTCATCATGGTGGCGCAATTTCAAAATCTTACTTCTTTTATTTAGCTGTTTGTTCGCTGGTGAAATTAATCTGTGTCTGGTATATCTTTAAAAAGCTCATCAACATATTTTTTCAAGGACTGGTAGAAACATGCTAAATCAGGGAAGAATGCTATGACACTAGAAAGTATTTAACTATTGATTATTACGCAGGGTATAAATACATTTTTGACCTCTCTTTGGAATAAAATAGCAAATTAAAAAACAGTTTCTTTAGCCTCTACTTAAAGAAAAAAAATCACAAGTCATATTCAATCAAAGTTAAGCATTTTTTTTCTTTTTCAGACTAATATTTTAATAATCAGTCAATTGCCAGGATTTTGGCAACAGGGGTGATGAACATTTGATTAGATCTTGCAATTACATTTTTTGGTGGGGATTTTTCCCCTCAATGAAGCTGAAAAAATGAATATATGCTTATTTTACCTTCTGAAGTTATGACTTGATTTCAAAATAGGAATGTGGGAAAAAAAAAATCAAAAAAAGCAATCCCATTCCACACGCCTCCATGCTGTTTTAATCCGTGCCAGGCAGTTCAATGCATCATAATGCACTCCGGTAAAAACATTTAAGACATGAATCAGATGCGACAACAGAAATGAACAGAGTGAATCAGTTCGTTCATGAGGTGCTTCTAATGTCCTGCTGTTACAGTCACATGAGCTACACTTCAGAGCCGTTCCCAGGGCTTCTCAGCACGGAACAACAAAAAGAAAAATCACCAACCAGACATGAAAATTACAACGGGACGTTATCAGTTTCATTAGCTTCACTGCATACTTAAAAAAAAGTGCCTTGGTGAGACTTAAGAGGCACAGCTCAACAATAAGGCAATATGTACAGGTGAACTCTAGTTTTGTTGGAGTTTTATAAATAAAAAAAAAAAGAAATAATACTGTACATTCTAATAAAAATGGCAATTGAGATGAAAAAAAAATGTAAAAAAAAGAAAATGTGAAAAGCACCAATAAATGGTTTATTCTACTTATGGTTTGAGATTGTGTACAATAATTACTTGATTTAAACACTGGCTGTTCCAGTTTGTAGAACATTTACCCCCTAAAATATTCATTCTTCTTTCAAATTGCTTTAAGGCAACAGCTTTTCTTTTTGGACTGATGCTACGAAACATGTTGCCTTTAAATGTGATGGATTAGGAGCACATCCATGAAAACTCAACATGTGTACAAGAGCCTCCAAAGCTAATTAATACCTTATAAAACTTAAACATCATGAGTAAAAATCAGAGATGTATGCATTATGAAAACAAGTGCTCCATTCTGAGGCCTGCTGGGAGAAAACGTAAGAATTAAGCTCTTAGATTTGATTCAGGTCACCATCTCTCAAAAAAAAAAAAAAACCAAAACAGTACATTTAATAAAACAGCTAGGATTAGTACGGGTTTTATATTAATGTTAGTAATTCTGAACCTAAATGATATCTCCTTATCGAGAGATTAATGTGACCAACGCAAACTTTTACATTCTCACCTGACAAAAGAAAGGAAACAAAAAAAAAAAACAGCATGTAAATAACTTTTTTTTTTCCTCGAACAAAACTGATTTAGCCGATGGATGTACAATTATACAGATACACATTTTCAATACCGCACATTCAATCTGCCCAAAAAAGGTCATGATTACAAAGCCAACAAAGACGCTGCCACATACATATATATATATTTATAGAGAGATGTATGTACAATGATTATAGCATTCATAATTGCACTATGCCTCAATAAATGTAAAATACAGGCTTATGTTGTAGGAAAATACTCGAAAGCAAATCGCAGGTAAAGAGGTGTTGATTATAAACACAGAGGGCTTTGCTTTGGTACAACCTGCACATCAACACTGTGCCCTTTTTATTTCATTACGTAGCAATCAACAGGATTTATGCCGCGCATCTAGTTCAGCCACAACAGTCAGCACAGCCGGGCTGCGGTTGGACACAAACACTTATAGAGCGGTCCGCTGATCGAGTCGTTTTGGCGTTGGTAATACATTTTTTAAACTATTTAAAGAAGAAGAGAAAAAGGTGGGATGTGGCACAGTTTAACATTAATGTTTCTAAAATCACAAGCCCCTCTGTCCTCCTGTCAGGCCGCTGGAAGGAAACTCTGCAGCCGGTCGCTCAGCATACGGCCGATTTCCTCCGTTTGTGCTGACCCTCATGTTTGTGTCAGAACGCTGTAAATACACCTCCACATTCAAATGTGCTCTACTTATGAAATGGTACCAAAGCAATGGAATATCATAACAGTAATAATGATCAAAGTGTATCGGTATCAAATCATTCTCAAATAATTTAAAAATCACAGTTTAGGCCTACAACAGAAGAGACGTGCATGAAAGAAAAAAAAGGATGCTGTTGATTAGAAAGCTGTTACATCACTTTCTGTTAGACTAAAGGTTCATGATGAACCGTCAGAATGAATTATGGGTACACAATGAAGGTTACAAAGAAAAACAAAGAAAGGAAACTTTTTTTTCTTCTGGTTTATAAAAAGGCAGGTGTAACGGGAGCTTCACCTATTTCCCCCCCAACTCCTGAATAGCAAGATGACCTTTTAAGAGTCCCGCCTCCCCCCAAAGCACACCAAGACGTCAGAGGGCCAATAAATTAGTCATATGCAACCATCAGCTTCTGTTTTCCTTAGATAATTCATAAGTGTGTATTTGTATGAAGGCCTTCTGTTCACGGATCGAGTCAGTCATTGTGTCAGGGGGGGCCGCGCTCTACACCAGGTTGTACTCCTTCAGGTTGAGCTGCAGGATCGTGTCTTTGACAGCTGCAAAGACGAAGCGGATGTTCTCCGTGTCGGTGGCGCAGGTGAAGTGAGAGTAGATGATCTTGTCACTGTCTGGATTCAGGTCCACAAACATCTTGAGAATAAACTCTCGAGCTGCTTGGGCATCCCTCTGAGGACCTGCAAAGGAAGAAATACATTCACCATGGATGCAACCGGTTGATCTTTGTCTTTATTTCAAAACTGAGATGAAACATTTTGAATTTTGACATGAAAGAATTTGTAAATTAATGTTAACACTATAAAAAGGCAGGTCTAATTAACAATTACAAGCACATCATGATTTGAAAGACACCTCAATTCAAATTGATGACGGGGCAATTTAATTATTTTTAAAGCCATGGACATAGTTCAGATGGGTTTAACCTGAAACAAAGGATGATGGGGGGTGCTCCTCTTAAATGCTGTGAAGAACGGTGAACGATCTGTAATGCTGGGAGTCTGTTTCGCTTCTAAGGGCCTGGTATCCTCTGCATTACCTCAGAATTTTACATGGTCTAAATAATCTTACCAGAAATATTACATGGTTCGCCAATCAACACAGAGGAAACCTCAGAAAGATATTTAAACTTATTTTTAGTAGCCTTCTCAGTCCCAAGACACAAAACCTGTAGAGGACCTAAGGGGTGAGCTGAAGAGATTCTAAATGAGGGATCAGCAGCGTCTGGAGGATCTAGAAAGATTGTAAAAGGAAGAACCGGTCGCCCTCTGTAACCCAGCAATGGGAAAATATCAGGGAAAAACTCAGGCCAGCCCTACCAGTAAAGAAAGGGGTGCTGCACAGAATGCAGCTGTGTGTGTGTGTATATATATATATATATATATATATATATATATATATATATATATATATATATATATATATATATATATATATACAGTATATACATATATATATAGAGCTGCATTCTATCCAGTCATCAGCAGGGGGCAGCATTTCTTATTTTATGCCTCAATGAATAAATGACATCACATTCAGTTCAGCTTTCCTTATCAGGTACTAAATTAGCTTTGAGGTTTTTCATCATGCTCATTAGGAAGGAAGGAAGATTCTGTTCAACCTAAAAGTATTTTCTGCTTTATGGGTTTAATTACATCTTCACAAAAAGGCCCGTTATTGATGACCTTCCAGCAGGGCGATCGGCAAGTCAAAAGAAATGACAAATAAAGCTCTTTAATGAAAAGGACGACAACTCACCGTCGTACTCTGGGAAGTAGTCAACCAGATGGGAGTACATGATCTTCTCCTCCAGCAGGTCTTTCTTGTTCAGGAACAGAATAACAGAGGAGTTTTGGAACCAGGGGTATGTGATTATTGTTCTGAACAAAGCTTTACTCTCCTCCATTCGGTTCTGACCAGGGGACACAAATGTAGATGTGGTTCAGTGAAGGTTGATCAAAGACAAAAATGACTTAATTAAACCCATGAGGAGAGATAGTAGGGCTGGGGGATATAGAAAAAAAGCTTATCGATAAAAAAAAATGCATATTGATCGATATCGATAATTATTTGAAACCATATTTTGCAGCTCTGCCTGGACTTTTTATAATATTGCTAAATGATTTAATTTTAATAAAAAACACAAACACAGACTTTGAATTAAATCTTTATTTAACCAACTTTTTTAACCATAACAGAATTGTTTTAAAGAAAAATAAGTTAAGAGACCTGAGTTATATTATTAAATACTGACAAAGAATAAACTAAAGTGACCAGAAAAGTGACCAAAATAAATATAACAAATAAATAAATGCCCCCCCGCCGCCCCCATTCTTCTAAGCTGAACCTGGTTCAGCTTAGTTTCCTGCTTTAACCTGAATTATTACTTTGAAGTTGCTGGCCCCTCAGCATTTTTATCTCAATTGTTAGAACTACGTGGGAAACTGCCCAGAACTGAAAATATATATATATTTTCCCGAAATTTCCGAAGATTCCTCGGAGGAGAGCCGCGCCCGGGCCTACACAGCTCGTACTCCTGCGGCTGTGAGCGGCTGAGATGATAAAAAAAAAAAGTTGGTTGTGTTATCAGACTTCGTTTTCACTGGTTCCCGACACATTTTCCAGATGACTGTGGTTTGTTTTTTGTCCGACTTGCCATGACCGAAATACTGCCAGACTGCCGAACTACAAAAACCCTTCTTTGGTACAATTTCCTCCGCCTCTCCTTGCTGCAACATCTTCATGTGCTCTGTGTTGTGGTTTGAGAGGGCGGCGCTTGGTGACGCCGTGCCTGGGTCCGCGATTGTGATTGGTTGGGAGGAAGTAGTGACTAGCATAAACCTACATGCTAGGCTACAATGAGAAGGAAGAAAAACTGCGTTTCTTTTTTATCGAACTTTTATCGACTCTCTTTTTTTCTATTGCGCCACACGTCTATCGATCGATATATATCGTTATTGAATTATCGCCCAGCCCTAAGAGATAGTAATAAATGTTTCAGTGCACTGAAGATGGAGGATAAGAGAAGGACTGTTGATCTTCTAGAACTTCATTTCAGTGTTGAACTGATTATCAGTGACATCACGAAGAGCTACCAGTCTGTGGTTACTATAGCTCACAGTAATAAAATCTGCTCATTATGCTGCTTCTATCAACCTAACAGAGACGCTTTATTCTCCAGAAGCAAAGTGACCTGATGCAGCATTCAGAACAGCCACCTGATCTTTTATGAATGTTCTCCAAGTAGCAGAAGAAGCGTCACACATCCTAGCAGGATGAAAACCTGGTATCCAGACTTTACTGAAAGCATCAGTTCAACCTCAAATTCAGATCCACTGAAAGCAAACATGCTATTAGGATCTCATATAAAAAAATAAAAAAATCATTACCATCTAGTATTTTCCTTCTTCTTTCTTCTATAAATGGGAACAGATGGCTCCCCAATAGTTACCTCATTGTCTGACTCCACCAGCACCTGGTCGTACTCGCTGAGCGCCACCAGGAACATGATCGATGTGACGTTCTCAAAGCAGTGGATCCACTTCCTCCTCTCTGACCTCTGACCCCCAACGTCCACCATCCTGTCAAAACAGAGCCATCATCATCATCATCATCATCATCATCATCATCATCATCATCATCATCATCATCATCATCATCATCACCCGTTCTGTAACACAGGCCGCTACAGGAGATCCCCATCAATCCCTTGTTTTTTTTAGGATTATGTAATTTTTAAAAACTGTAGAGTACCTATTCTTATGTTGGAAAATTTGCCCTTATAGTACAGTCTGCTTTTTTATTTATATGTTGAATCCCTGTGCATCCATTTGGTTCCACGTTTATGCTTTTTTAAAAAACTCACTGGTGCCAGAATTACTGTCTGAATTACAAAATAAATATGAACTAAATCATTATTTTACATTTTTGACCATTTTTATTGATGTTGATTTAACTATCTGGTCCCTTAACCTTCTTTGTCCAAAGGATTTAAATCACAAAGAGTCTTTCTCCTAGATGCGACATAAAATAGGAAAGAAAAGACAGAATCCTATTCAGGTCAGAACAAAAAACAAACAAAACACCTAAAACAATTGAAACTAAAATATATCTAAATATGTATCTAGTTTTACTAAGCAGATGAGATGGTAGAGAATCAATAAAGTTGGAATATGAATGTGTAAAAAGTCATACGACATCACCTGAATATGACGCTCTGCAGATCGAATGGATATTCAATGATGCCGGTGGTGGGAACCCGAACCCTCAGCACATCCTGCTGGGTGGGAAGATAGGAAGGTTCAGCGATCCGGTCAAGTGCGTTTAGGTAACTAGAAGGACAAGACAGAATAGGAAATTATTTTTCATTAGGGTGGCATCCCGATCAAAACGGTGTCCTGTTCTACTCACTATTTAGTAGAATCTGAGAGCTGGTACTCCCTCCTTCGATCATAACACTCCTGGATGCCGGGGTCATTCCACAAGTTCTTGATGGCATCAACGTAAGGATTCTCAAACTTGAAGACCTTCTCCACGTCCACTTCTCTAACAATGTTGGCATTGGCCTACCGGTACATGGAATACAGATTAATAAATTACTAACAAACTGCTCAGAAAAGTCAGAAACATCTGTAAATAATAAAAAGAAAACAAAACGTTACAAAGAGAAATCGGTGTCCTCATTATTATTAGTTCATCCTTTACATCACTTGCTATACTTCATTGTACCCCCCGGCTCAGCATGCAGCTAATATCTGAGGCTCATATCTCACAGGAGCTTTAAACAAATTAGGGAGAAAGTGTTTCTGCCCCAGATTCCCATTAAAGATCTCCTATACAGGAGGGAGAATAGCTGAGGCTTTCTCTCACACAGATTCAAAGGAAAGCCGTTATAATGTCAGTTATTTATGACATACTCATAGACAATACTTCTTTATGATCATCTATTTTCCCATTGACACATGAAGATATATGCATATGAAATCCATCACAAGATCAATGTCTAAAACCTACTAATCAGCCATTAAAATAACGGCACTCGGTTAATAATACTTCTGAATATAGCAGATGTTGTATTCTAGTAGGTCTGGCAGTAAAAAAACAAAACAATCTGCAAGTGTTTCAGTGGAGCTGATAGGTTTTCAGCTCCCCATAGCTATGGAAATGTCCAGGAAAAGCAAACATGGCTTCTACTTTCAGCATTTCCCGGATGGTCGGGTCTGCAGGATCTGTGCTGAACTCAGTGATTTTATTGACCTATATGCACAAAATGCAAATCTGGCTGTTTTTCTGTATGTTTAAGTGAGACTTACTGTAAAGACGAACATGAATGTCAGCTTTATTTTCACTTCCCTTGTGACGCGAGTTTCGTGGTTTCATCCTTTGTCACAGACAGACACTTCCCATTTTAACAAAAGCGAGCCGGGCACACATTATGAAACCTACAGCGCCAATGAAAGAGGATAAACCTTTACAGATTTCATCTGTTGTTTATTTTTGTCTCACAGCTGCAAAGTTTATCAAGAGTCCAAGATAAATTGAGTAGATATAAAAATCAGTTTTCAGCCTCGGACCTTTAAAGTGCTTGGCTATGGCTATTATCTTTTCTATAATCTTTATATAATCTTATAATCTTTATATAATCTTACGTGTAGACAAAATATTTTTTATAACTGTCTAATTAATGCATTGAGCATTATCCTAAAAGTTTTAAAGATCATAAACATATTTTTTATTGTTAACATGACATGAGCCTTTGTGTTCCTTTAAAATAATAGCTGTTCCCATCTTGTCACCACATCTGTGGAATATGGCTGATAATGCATGATCATATATCAGTATCAATGATTATAAATCTTTGTTTTAACTACAGTATTTGAAATAAGGACCAGCAGAAAAAGGGCAGAACTTAAATTGTAATTAGAGCTCAGACCACCAAGCCTGCTTGGCTGTGAGAGGCCAAATCCTTTAAACAGACTTTTTTTGTATTGATACTGATAAGTTTTCTCTATTGTTATACATGCTCATAATCATGATCTCATTCTAACTGAGTATTTAAAAGCCTTTTACTTTTATAACACAAGCGACAAAAAACAGTTACTTTTAGTTATTTACTTAATAATCTGTGACAATGTTGCTTGCTAAAAATTAAAATATGATCAGAATATATAATAAAATCTATTTCTGTGGAATCTGGAGAACTGCGATCTTTTTGTCCTGGTCCACCGTTCCTTACTGGTCGGTGAAGAAAATACATTACATAGTTATTTTTTACTTTTTTTTATTATGCCTCTTATAAAAAAAAAAAGAAAAAAATAAATAAATGTAATCTAACAAAAACTTCCAACTGTTTTTAATATTCTTTTTTTTTTGTTTCTGCATTTTTTATTTTTTTATTTTTTTTTTTTTTTTTCCTACTTGCTTTGATTCTGTTTTATCTTCCTGTATTTTAATCATGTAAAGCACTTTGCATTGTCTTTGTACTGAATTGTGCTATACAAATAAATTTGCCTTGCCTTGCCTTGCCTTGCCTCTTTAAAAAAGAAATTGACATTTCCTTTATTTCTCTAGCAGGGTGAGAAAGTTCTCTATATTATTACATTTCATTCTGAATACTGTCCTAAAAGCTTAATAAATCCAAATTATCTCATTATCAGCGCAATTTTTTCTTTCATGCTGAAATTCACCTATTCTTTATGAGCATATTGGTCTTTTAACTCACATCTGGACTCTCTCCGTGGCTCTGTCCAGCACATTTCAGCCCAAATGGTCGTTACACTGAAATCTATCAGAATTAAACTAAAAATGTACGAGTATAACATTTGTGGAAACTGTGTTTTAAACACATTTTCTTTCTAATTTTCACATAAACATGAGAAAAGCTCTGTGAAAAGGTAAAAGTGAAACCCATTGGACTCCGTCATTGCCTCACCCTGAGCGGCGGATTGCAAGGTAGGCGAACACATGTCCACTAGCTGACTGAGGGCAGCTTTGGACGCTCTGTCAAGCCAAACGGAAAATAGATTGTTTTTTGCTGTGTCTTAATAAAACCCAGCATTGCTCGGTCCACAGCCGCCTTACTATCGCAGCAGGTGGAGAACAGCAACCTGTTTGGGTCAGTCTGATAGTTTGCATGATATGAACATCACCTCCCACATCATACACCTCTGTCCTTGATAAACTCTTGGAGAAAGTCTGGTGTTCCACAACTTTTCGATGTGTCTCCACTGACTGGAGGTCATTAGCAGGATTGGTCACTTAGTGTTGGTTTTTGTTCAGTCAGGAATTGCTTTAAGCCTATTTCAAGTTGTCAGAAAGTTTTTAAGTGATTGCTTGATTCAATATGTCTGGATCTAGCTAGTGTAACTCCACAAAATATTTCTTTTTTCTTAAATATAGGAAAATTATGAAAAAAGCGTATAAATATGCAAATGTGTTGCATTCTTTTTAATGTTTATGAATAATAGAGAATACAAAAACGACTGAAACAACACTAGACTCCATCGCTCACAAGAAATCCCTAAGGGGATAGAATAAGAAGGTACGTGCTGAGAATAATTACCCAAACACAACGACAGACCTCGTTACAATCCAATTTAGGCTTCCATTTGAACTCCAGGTTGCTATGAAAATTGTTTTGTATTGGAGGAAATTCAAACAATAAGCAGATTGTAACATACAATAAATGAATTAATTCCCCCAAATGTTTCCATAATTTTTTTCCTGAGCAAACATCTCCAACAGAAAACAAACAAAACTACAGCAGCTCCAAATGTTACCAAGGTGACATCTCTTACTCTTCAATTCCTCTCATTTGTCCCTCTCACAGGGTATAAACAGTGAGTAATAATGATAATAATAATAGTAATAATAGGTCAGTACAAGGCCACTGCATCCGCTCCCAAATCAACAACTACAAGAACGACTCCAGATGAAGAAGTGAGTAAAATCCAGCTGAGGAGAGGCAGAAAATGTGAAGCCGTCTGGTATTCTCTGTTTTCATATGCCCCTATGTGGGCATGGCCAGTATGTGGGCGAACAAGAACATGCTCTAATATACAAAGGGTGTGATGGAGCATTGGAGCGCAGTAAGGGCACAGGAAGTGTAAAAATCAGCAGGAAATCATTATGGATGGCTGCTCCAAAAAAGATAGACTGTATTCTAAAAATATTCAGCCCTGGCCTGAAAACTTCAGAGCAAACTTTCTCACTTTATCCCACACCGCTGTGACCTTTAATTACCAGGGCTGTATCTGTAATCCTCCCAGTTTCAGAAGTCTGAAGATCTCAAATACCTTGTTGTGCTCGTATTTGTAGGGGACGTTCAGCGTCTCGGCGGCCCGGATCATGGCCTGCATGGATGTGAAAATGTTCTGGTAGACGAGTTTGGTGAAACCCCGTTTGTCTTCATCGGAGTAACCAGTCCCGTGGATGATCCTCATCTGTTTGATGAAGGTGCTCTTACCACTCTCACCAGTTCCTAAAAATTTAGACAAGAAAATAAAAGCACAGGCAGTTAATTAACATTGTATTGAACTGGGTTTCATAAGGCAGCCTGACACTTCCTAATGAAACACTGCAGAAAGCAGGGTTGTCAAAAGGATCCTTTCTCAAACACTGTATCCGGATGCAATATTAATTTAACAAATGATTGGTATTCTTCCTACTTTTATTTTTACATTTCAAGATTATGTTGTTTTAGTTATTATTTAACAAATAATAACTAAAACAACCTAAAAATATTGTCATATTGTGTTATAATTGGCCTATTTATAACTGAATGTGTGATTCCTTTGAAAAAGCACGTTGTATGTCGAGATAGAAAATTGCAAATTTTTCTACTTCTTTCATCTGTTTTTATGCCTTTAAGTATTTGCCATTTTTATTTCCATGGTATCGAACATATTCCTGAGTATTAATATAAGCTTTGAAATTTTAGCATCATGCTAGTAGAAATAGAAAGATTAGAAAAAAGCAAGGTTATATCTACTATTGTCCTAAGGGTTGTACAATGAAATAAATATTAAGCTGTACAATAGGTTGTTTACTAGTCATCCTTGAAGGTTTAAAGGAATTATTAGCTCTTGTTCTGAGCTGCTTCATGAATCATGCCTGTTTTCAATGGAAATGCCAGAGGCACACTGCTTTGCATGATACCAAAACAATCAGACTGTTTATCCTGGACACTAATACGCATCCTGAATGATCCGAACATGTTGCACTGAGTGTCAAATATAAGAAACTGGTTAAATAGTAAATTGCACATTATACATTATTGCCGTTGTTGTGTGTCGCATTTAAAAAGTCTGGTGGCACCAGGGATGAATGACCTGCAGTAGCGCTCCTATTTACAAACAGGGTATAAAAATATTTCATTAAAGGAGCTGCTCATCTCCTCTACAGTCTGGTGCAGATGGTGGAAAGTGTTGTCCATGATGGATGTAAGCTTGGACAGAACCCTCCTCTAAGCCACTTCCTTGCCTGAGTCCAGTGCGCAGCCTAAGACAGAAACTGCCTTTCTCACCAGTTTGTTCAGTCTCTTTCTGCACCGCTCTGCACTGCCAGGGGCTCAGCCCACAAAAGCGTAGAGGAGGGCTGATGCCACCACAGAGTCATAAGAGGTTTTAAGCTGGAGCCACTCTTGTAAACAGTTTCTATGTCCTGTCCCTGGATGTTCACGGGGGACTGAGCTGGGTGTGTTCTCCTATAGTCAATCACTATCTCCTTGGTCTTACTGGTGTTAAGGCACAGGTGGTTCCCAACACCAGTCCACAAAGTTCATGATGACCGATCGATACTCCAGCTTGTTCTCCTCGGAAACGCAGCCTACAATGGCCGAGTCATGGGAGAACGTCTGGAGATGGCAGCTGTCCGTGTTGTAGGTGGAGTCCAAAGTGTAGAGGGTGAAGAGGAGATGAGACAGAACGATGTCCCGGATGGCCCTGGTACTGCAGACTGCCACCTCTGACTGACAGCCGTGCAGCTGAACGTAGTGAGGGCAAGATGTCTGTCCACTCCAGCGTCCTCTAGCTTCCCCCTCAAATACGCAGCTTTTGTTCACTGTCTTTCGCAGCACCACATATAATAAAAAGGGTTGTTGGGCTCTTTTTCCCCAGCCTGTTTTTTTATCACGGAGAAAGACCAAAAGCAGCACTTTGCCTTCAGTGATGACTGGAAGTATTTACCGTAGGTGTGAAAACGTGGGGGTGTCATTTCTTTTGGTTTACTGATGATCTAAATCTGCCCCATATTGCAAACTATAGACCAGCAGGTCTGCAGTCTAGAGTGGAAGGGCTTGGTAGGTCATACTTGCAGAGGATTGCAGAAGCATTCGCACCGTTTGAATATTTTTACATATGTGGGGATTTTACGCGGCTGTCAACACAAAATAGCACAGAAGTCTTTGACGCATGCATTTTGAGGTATACCTCTATAGGCTTTTACATGGCTTTATGTCAGGCTGCAGGTGTAGGTGGACAGCCATGACCTGTTGAGAGGTTCCAGGCTTGAGATCTTTTCTCTTCACCTTTATCCCTGACCTGTCTTCCTTTATGTTAATAATGTTATTCACTCTAATGTTTTCCAACATGTGGCTTCTACCTGACTTCTGAGGGCAGATTTAATTAAAGACCATCTTAGTAAAAGGGACAGAAGTTACAAAGAAATCTTATACTTTTGAATTGCACTGAATGCAGGTTTAAGCCATGTGACTGTGGGGGGAAAAAACAGCAGTCTGATCTGCTGTACCGTTTAAAACAAAAAAAGGGTCTTTCTATAATAAGAATACTCAATACTCAAGCACTTCTTAAGGCCAAAATACACTGCTGCAGAACACCACACACCAAAGTCTACCCTATTATTTTCTAAGTACATCCCCCACATTTTTGGTGGTCAGGCACACCCCGCTACTCTGTGATGCTCAAACTGCCACCCATGTGAAAACCCCCGCCTCGTCACGGCCTGCGTGTTCGCCCAACAGTCTAGGATGCTTTACTCATGTGGCAGCTCGGCTTCTCCATCTTGACGGTGGGTGAAACTAGCCTTAGAAGTGAATTCAGGCAAAAATAACCATCTCCAAACTCTGGTCAGTGCATCTCTAAAGAAAGAAAACATTTCACACAAATCTTAAAAAGAAGAAATCTGCATATTTGAAGAAAGCTTGCCTAATATACTAATGGATCTCAACTCAAACCCTGGACTCCACCTTGACTGCATGAGCAGAGTTAATGCATCACCTATTTTTTCACAATAAAACAATATTGTTTCCCTATCCATGAAAAATCATATGATTCTGATTTATCACACGGGGGAAATAAAGAAAGCTTAACAGGAACATAGATGTCCAGACAGGCTCCTTGTTTGAAGGTTTGTTGTTTCAATCACCTGCCTTGAATGAATATGCTTTATATATTTAACAGCTTTAGAGGTAAAATAACTTTAATAATTTTAAGATCTCCATCCATTTAACTCGCATTTTCAAATGAGGAACTTAAATGGGGGTTCTTTGTAGACATTTCCTCAGAGCAATTAGGGATTACAGGGCCAAGTCTGGATCCCAAAAGATCAAAAAGTCTGGGAAAAACAAATATGGCGAGCGCATGCAGCCCAATACCACTGTTAACTACGTCTACCCATTATGGCGGCTTAGGCTGCACAACACGCAAATCGCATCGCAAATAAATAGTAACCACGACACAAGTTGGTGCAGCATTCATAACGCAAATAAATCGTTGAGCGCAATTATTCCAGCCTAATATATTCCAATTGTTATAAACTTCCATTTCAGATGCTAATGTAATATATAGGCAGCTTCACAGTCTCACGCTAAAAATGCTGACAGCGGACATAAATTACATTGCCCCAAATGATAAAGATCACAAAGTACAGGAAGGAGAGGAGAAAATAGGTAAACGCCACAACTGATTGAAAACAAATATTTACCTACTATCGCCACTGCAACATGTTCTAGGACTGCAGTCACCCAGGATTAACCTGCTTTATACATTCAGCAGCTTCTCATAGGAGGCAAGAATGACAAAATATGAATTTTTATTCAAGAAGAAAATGCTTTGTGTGTGTGTGTGTGTGTCAACAGCATCAGCATTTGTTAAACTCTGGTTCCCTACAGCAAACTCATTACCAAATTTACATGTAGAAAAAGGAATCAGCTCACTGCATCGCCTCAAGCAGAGTTCACCTGAGAATATCAGCCTTTTAACCGCAGCCTGCATTTTCAGCAGCCAAAAGTTTGACAGATCCCACAAGCTCACAGTTGACAGGAAATGCTATTTCCTGATAACATTATTATATACAAATATACAAAACAACAGTTAAAAATTTGCAAGTAAAAAAAACAAAACTGGAGGTTTTGTATTTATGAAATAATTGAGGCATTGATTCTAAAATAGGAACATAAATACCCTGGTTAAAGAAATCAAAGGATATTAGGGTGAATTATAAACCTTCAGTTAAAAATCTGGTTTCACTTTTTTTCCCCTGTAATATGACAACGCCAACCAGCTTCAGCTCAATAATAGGAAATGGTTAGTGATGAACTTCATCTTTTATTAAGCAGGCTCTTGCTGTTATTTTCACTTTCATAAAGTCTCTCCTGTGACTCCTAAAACTGCTTAGCGGTTAGCTTTAAATCATCGTCTGCAAACTGTTCAAGGAGTTTTAGTCATGTGAAACAATTAATGACTTCCAGTGCACTTCTTTATTACTTCTTGAGCCTTTCAGTTTCTACTCTGCTGATCCAACCACTTTCAAACAAGAATCATGTGACGTTTGCAGTCCTTCCTTCTCTCACTGACAGGCATGTGTTTGTTAAAGGCTGGTTAGATGTTAAGGTGGACTTTGTTCAGCCATGGCCTTGACAAAGTTCCCACAGCTGCTTTTATCTGGCTGCTAAAAGCAGCTGACAATGATTGTGCAGATAATCCTCCGTACAAATGTTTCTGAAAGACCAAGAAAATAAGAAAACATACTTTTTGCCTAAACAAAGAGGCAGAAAAAACAAACAGGAACACTAAATAGCTGCGTTAGCTTTAGCTTGTAAAAACAATTATAAGACATAAAAACCTTTGAGTTCCATTTTAGGTTTTGGTTGCACTGATTAAGGCTTTATGAAAGTGTGTAAATGTGTAAAAAGGACGCAGTCATTTAAATCTGGGTCCAGTGATCTAAAAAGGATTCAATTTGGGCCGCTGAGCTATTTTCAAATTAATTGGTTATACAAAGTTGATAAATGTTTGGAAATCACAAACATTCACTTTATTAGGTTAACAACTAAAAGCCCCTTTTCAAAGAAGTTCTGCAGAAAACTCACTTCCATAAACTCCCAACTATGGATCACTCTGTCCTTACACATCACACAAGGCTTGCCGCTGAGATAAGGGCCCCTGGGCTCATATTCAAAGGGGCGTGGCTTACAAGCTGCTTTACTCTGCAGAGCATTTCGCCAGTACTGAGCTCTATGTG